TTCTTCTGAGTGTTGTGAGACAATTTATTTATTGTTTTAACTACGGTTAAATATGCTCCTGGCCATCCCTCCCTCCAACAAGCTCATATGCAAGCAATGCCCCCCGAAGGAGATTTACCTAGATTGGTAGGGCAGCCCCTCTCTTCAGAGACACCAGGGGTGCACCAGAGCCTGTCTAGCCATACTCCCTGGGCCCTTGTCTCCTCTACTAGCAAGGCTGGCTGGGCCTGGCTGCCACCCTGTGACCTCCACCTGTCCTCCCACACAGGTAAACCTGCAGGGGGTGGGGAGAAGGGGCTGTGAGGGCTCTGACCAGGTAATGTGGTTAAGCCCCCCTGGTGGCATTGGCCACCTCTGGTTATTTTTGCGTCGGGGCCCTGGGGCTCCAACTAGCTGTTTTGCACTGGGACTCTAGGGCTGCAACCACTGGCATGCATGTGTGTCTGCACATGTGTGTGCATGTACACGTTTGTGTGTGAGTGCTTGTGTGTGTGTGTGTGCGTAGGGGAGGCATGTGCCCGTTCATGCACACCTGTGAGTCTGGCAGTTCTGTGAATGAATAGGGGTGTTCACAGTGTGTGTTTGTATCCTGTGTATTGAGTGTGTGTGTGTGTCTGCGTGTGTATGTGTGTGCACTCTGCTTGCCCAGCCGCCCACCAGAGCCTGCTTCCTCATCTTCTGACAAAGGCAGCACTTTAATCACGGGATGCGTCTGCTTCTTTGCTGTGTCTGCTCCTGGAGCAGGGTTTTCTGGGGTGGAGGGTCGCCCCATGGCTCTGGCATCTCTGGAGATTTCCTCCAGCACCTTCAGTTGCTGGTGTGTTCTTTCCCCCCTCCTCTCCCCTTTCCCTCCTCCCTGGGGGATGCGGTCCTGCCTATCAGGCTGACCAAAGTCCAGCTCCCCGCCCCTGGGCCCTCCCCTTCCCTTGATAGAGAGAATCCCACAGGGGACACATCTGGGACCCAGCCTTGAGGGGGAGGGGAGCAGATTTCAGAAAGAGGCCCCATATGTAAGTGTGTGGGTGGGGTGGTCACAGGCCCAGGGAACAGTGTCCCAGCCTGCTGGGCAGCATAGCTCTCTGTCAGCGCTGATGAATTATATCCACCCCTTCAACTCCAAGGAGGGCCAGAGGGTGGGCTCTGCTCTGCCTCTTGGAGGGGGTGAGTTCCCATAGCGGGGGAGGGAATGTGATCCTGCCAGCAACGGCAGAGAGGCCAAGCAGCTATGCCATATTCATAGTCATCCATCTGCCCCAAACACTATCCATGATCTATGCCTTAAATGGGGGTCCCACAACCTTGCCCCTCTCACTGAGCACATCAAATCCTTAGGGACCCCTCCTCATTCCCCTCGCACCTCCAAACTGCTCCAACCTCATTCGCCTTTACTTGCCAACCTCATCAGTGGCCTCAGGATAGAGCAGAAAGGATGTAGGGTTGGAACTGGCCACCAGGTCACTGTTAAGCTCGAGACCCTGGGCAAATGACATGCCCTCTCTGTGTGCCTGTCTCATCTGTAAAACAACAGTCGTGATTCCTATCTTCCAAGACTATTGTGAGGAATACAAGTGTGGAGATAGCAATGCCTCTTCAGGGAGGTCAGTGGATACTGCCCAGTGGTGAGGATTTCCATGTCTTTACAAGTGGGGAAACCGAGGGCTCAGAGCTGGTGATGCATTGGCTGAAGGTCACACAGCAAATGTGACATCAAACCCTGGGAGTCCTTGCCAACCTGTCATAGGAAGCTTCATTCCTTGAAGTGAGAGTTTCCTTCCGGGCCCATTGACTTTTCCAATGTCTCATTTTGGCTGCAAGACCTCTCTCCCCCAGGAAGTCTTCTCTTTGAGTGTCTGGCACACAGTAGGCATTCAGTCAATACTTGTTGGGTAAAAGGTATGGAGGAAATAGGGTTTTTCATTTGCTATCAGTAAATTAAAGAATGTCATGCTATCAGTAAATTAAAGCAGTACGGTGAGTCCTAAAAAAAGAGGCATCAAGAGGCGTCCAGGGCTGAGTGGGGCTGGGGTGGGCAGCTGATTACTGGGGTTGGAGATGGGCTGGAGGCGGGTTTCTCAGCTTTGCCTTTGCAGCCAGCCCTGGCTGTCTGAGAAATTTCATTTTGCTAGCGACCTGATTCATGGCCTGGCTCCCTAGGTTCCCAGAGCTGCTCTCTGTCAGTAACTATTCTTTACAAGGTCCCTTGATTCACTGTCAGGGTTGAAGATAAATTTTTAAAGACGAGCTCAGTGCCGGGACCATTCCAGAGGAGCTGTTAACTTAATGTCCCGCCTCGTTCCGCCAAGCCTGCTCCCTCTTGAGGCACATGAGGGTTAGTACTTGCCATTTCTAGCAATTGCTTCTGAGTGCTCTCCTTTGGACAGAGAGTGAGGGATGAAGAGAAAGGAACGCAAAATAAAGGATGAGGTGTCAGGCAGAACTCTGTTACTAGGTTTACTGTGTGACTTTCTGTCAACTGCTGCCCCTCTCTGGGTCCTCCCTTCCCTGTTTGTGAAAGTCTGGTTGCTTGAGAACACCATTACGACAGTGCCCACTTTCTTCCCTGGAGCGGCCTGGTCTCCCAAGTTCATTTGGGAAGGTCTTGGCAGTCAAGCAGAGGCTCATGTGCCCCACCCTGCCTCACCTACTTGCCTTGGCAAATCCTCCACTTCCGCCTCCTGGATATACGGTATCTGTCCATTTTTCTGCTCCACTGCCCTGGCTCCACCCTCATCACTGCCACTTTGGGCTGTGGCAGCAGGCTCCTAACTGACCCCCTTGGCCCTCTAAGACTTCTTTCCTTCACCCAGTGGGGAGGCAAAGGATCTGAACCTCAAGTCTGATCTCAAATCCATGCTGAACCCTCAGACCCTCTCTGGCCTCCATGTCTTTGCATACATTTGTGTGTTTCTCCTATCACCATATTCCAGGCATAGGGAGCAGCACGTGCAAAGACATGGCCGCAAAAAGAAAGCAGTGTGTTGGTGTGTTGAGTATATAGCTTCTGGTTTCTTCACGTATAATATTGCCCTTTCCTAGAATGTTCTTGTCCCTTTCCTCAGCAAACTCAGTATGTCTCCCCCCTCTCCTTCTTTGTGCCCCACCAACCAGGGTCAAGCTGTATCATCCATCTTCCCTATGGGCTGGGGGTCCCTGGGGATAGGCCCCCAGTTTGGCCTCCCAGACTCCCCAGCAGAGCCCTGTGCATAGCACGAGCTTAATGTGTTGAATGAAAAGGATCCAGGTTCCAAGTTGAACACCAGAGTATCCCCTCACCCCACACAGACATCCAAGCTGGAATAGTCTTCCTTGACTCACATCTATTATTTCTCTTCATCTTTCTAAGAACTTGAAGGGGATGACTTAGATAACCTGTGATTTTCCACACCGATAAGGTGCTAAGTGTAGAAAATCCCCAAATGTGGGGTATATGAAAGCCATTTACAGTTTGTATTTGGACTTCAGCTGGCAAATATTTGTTGAGCACTTGCCAGGTGCTGGCATCATGTTAGGCACAGGGATTAAAAAGAAAAATGACTGAGATCCCCCACCCCCTACCCTCTAGGAGCTCATAAAATCAGTTGCCATCAAGTTGACTGACTCCTGGCAACCCCACGTGTGTCAGAGTAGAACTGTGCTCTACAGGTTTTCAATGGCTGACTTTTCAGAAGTAGATTACCAGGGCTTTCTTCTAAGGCACCTCTGGGTAGACTCGAACCTCCAACCTTTCGGTTAGCAGCCAAGGGCATTAACTCATTAACCTTTTGCGCCATCTATACCACCTGGGGAGTACTAGTCAGGGCCTATTTGAATAGCAGGTGTCTGGTGTCTTGGAAACGCAATGAAAGCCACCATTTGAAGCCTCCCCGTGGTTCTGGGCAGTTTTCCTGCCAGGCCCCACCCGCACCCCACCCCTAAGCACGCCGAGCCTCACCTGCCCTTTGTTGCCAGACACATCTTGGGCAGAGCTGGTCCATTTTTAGCCTGCCTTTCACACCCACACTGGACCTGGAAGTAGCAAACTGCACCATCGAGAATCTCAGTGTGCCGGGGTCTGTGCCTGGTGCTTTGTCTGCTGCCGGGCACGGTGCAGAACCTTTACAACTCTCAAGGCCCACGAACAACCCCAGGGCTGCAGACTATGGTGGAGGCCAAGCTTCATTCTGGGATGAACAATAGCATGTTCGCACAGGTGCCATGCAGCCCCTCTAGCTGCAACAAACGCCGAGGCTGGGCTCCCTTTAAGGACGGATGTGGTTGCTGTTGCTCCCTGTTGGCAGGCGCAGGAGGCTGGAAAGCAACCCCAGCCAGCCTCCCTGTTCCCTGGACTCCCTCCTGTGCTGCTGCCTGTGCTGAGTGGTCTCCCCGAGCTTTGGGAGTCTGTGTATGCACACACACACACATCAAGTGTGCCATGAGGGGCTATGAGGCAGCCCATCTGGGCCCCTGGTGTGGAAGGGCACACCCCACCCATCTAGGCTCCCTCCTGTCTGGCTCTCTGACGTGGAAACCCCCTTGTGGGTAGGGCAGACTCACCCCTCTTTTGGCTCCTTTTTGGCCAGGCTCTCCCCATAAGCCCCACGGAGAAGAGGAGGGAAGCCTCCCTGTGAGGGGGTGATGGGGAAGGACATCTGTTGAGAGGAGGTCTGAAGGCAGGGAAGGGAAACTGGAGTGAGCTTGAGGTGCACACACCAACCCCCTCTGGTCTTCTGATTTTTTCTGAGGCCCCCCTCAACCCCTGGCATTTCTCTGGAGCTCCTGAGGCTTGCCCCTTCCTCCTTGAGCCAATCATGGCAGACCCCTAGAGGAGGTGTCTCTCTGTAAGGGTACAGAGGGCCTAAGAGGATCCGAACATTGGGGGCGGAAGAACAGGATGGCAGCCTGTTCTGCCGTATTTCAGTCTCGTGTCCTTTAATGTGTGTGTGTACATGTGTGCACACACGAGTGTATGTACGCACACATGTGCATGTGTGCAAGAGGAAGACACAGAGCCAGCTACCACGTACTGTCTGTTCTCCGGGAGCTGCTGCCCCCACCCCCAGTGTGGTCACTTGTATTTATTTAAGAAAAATCTAACACAGTGGTGGGTAGAACCCAAGAGAAATTGGCTGTGGGATGGGGGTGGGGGAGATGCCTGGGCTGCCTTCAGCCTCTGCCCTCACAGCACCCTCTGGCGCTTCCTGTCCTCCTCCCACCAGATCCCATTTTGTGGGGGGGATGGGTGGCCATCTCCCCTGTCCGCTGCAGAGGGAAGGAGTGGTCAGCAGAGCGGAGGGGTGGCTAAGGCGTGGTGTTGACCTTGCTCTGAGGTCTGCAGGTGGCACCCAGGCCTCTCTGGGCCTGTCTAGACCCTGGTGCTCTGGGCTTTGGCTAGGCTGGGGATGGACCCAGGACTCCTCCCCTTCAGGACCCTGCCTACAGCCCTTGGGACAGAGGGAGAGTCCTGAGAACTCAGGAAGGTCCAGCTTGGCCCCAAGACCCTCTGCAGAGTCAGCTGCCAGGTGCTGGGAAGGAACTGGGGGGGCACAGGAAGCCAGCAGATGCTACAACTGTTCCCCCACCTCCCCAAATATTTTGTCCACAGCAAGATCCTTGGCAGGGCAGGCAGCCGCTGCTTCCCCACCCTGCAGGACAGTAATCCCTGAATATTAGTTTGAAAAAAGTCTTTGTGCAGCCTGTGACACAAGACCCCCAGCTCCCCCCAGCACAGGGGGGAGACAGGGGACATGGGAGGCAGGGGTGGGGGCACAGTGTGCGTCCACCTCGCCCCAAGCTTGGCCTCCTCGCCTCACTCCTGGGGCAGGAGGATTGCCTAGGATGGAGGAGGTTTGGAAAGGGTCTAACGAGGGCTGGGATTCCTTTCTTCCTTGCAAGCCACTGGAGAAAGGCGCCTCTACCTGCAGGGGGCAGAAGAGGGTAATGGTGTGAGGCAGAAGGACAAGACACTAGGCCCCACCCGGCACAGAGCAAAGCTGCAGGGGCAGGGAGTATAAAACCAGATTCAGCCGGCCCGCGCAGATGTGGGCAGCAAGTCCCCGCTAAGTACAACACAGAACAGCCCCCGCGTGGGGGGCGGGGGGGCAGCCACCAGGACCGCGCTTCTACGCAATCTCTTTGATTCTGCGCATGTAATTGTGCAGGTCTGGGGGCGGTGTGGGCCGCGTGGTGCTCGCCACATCCGGGCAGCCCCAGCCCAGGCCCTCCTCGTCCTCCGCGTCCTCCTCACCGGCGGGCACCGAGTCATAGGCTAGTTCCTCGGAGGGCAGCGTGGTGAAGGTGGTAAACTTGACCCGCTTGCGCTTGGAGGTGGGCGAGCTGGCGGGGTCCTCGGCCTGGTCCCGGGCCGAGCCGCCAGAAGAGCCGTCGCCGCGCCCGTGCACCTGGCTCTGCACGCTGGTCTGTGAGCTGCCGCTGCTGTGGTGGTCGCCGTGGCAGCAAGCAGGCACAGTTTCCAGCGGGTTGCCGGGGGGAGGCGAGAGCTCCCCTTGCACCCGCAGCGGCTGCCCGTTGCCCAGGAACACCCAGTGGTGCGAGTGGTCCATGCTGGTCTGGCCCTCGGGCGGGATGCGCTTGTGCCGGTAGCGCAGCACGAAGACGATGCAGTTGATGAGGAAGACGAGGATGGCGAGGCAGAAGACGCCCAGCAGTGCATACATGCCGATCTCCAGGTCTGTTAGCCCCCGTGGCATCTGCAGGAAGCCGGTGGGCAGCGGCAGGAAGTCTTCTGTGGGCGGTACAGCGGGGCTGGCCGTGTCCCTGCCCGGGCCCTCCGCGGGGGAAACCCCGGTGCCTCGCGGGCCAGCTCCGCGGGCCTCCTCCTCAGCCCCTCCAGGCCCTGGTTGGCTGGGGCCCGGATAGTCGTAAGTCGGGTCCTCCTCGTCCCGCCCAAAGTGTACCCGTAGGCCCACAGGTGTGGTGGCCAGCACGCTCTTGCGCTTAGTTTTCTGGCAGCTCTCAGTGATGGTAAGCTCGGCGCGGAGTAGCTGGCCTGCACCCTCGGCCTCCGCCACCACCAGCGGGAAAGCCCGGTCCTGAGTCACCGTTGCTACTCGCTCGTCCAGGCTGCTCACCAGCAGCTCATAGTCCCGGGGGCTGTAGAGGGAGAGTGGGGCCGTGGTGCCATCGCTGTAGGAGAGCCAGAGGCTCAGGAGGGCTTCCTGGAGGAGGGGAGGACAGGAGTCAGAGAGCTCGTCCTGGCTGGAGGGCAGGGACCAAGAGCCTCTGGTTCCCTGCTGTATTCTCAGCGCTGGGACCGTGCCTGCATGTGGCAGGTGCTCAGGAACCACTGTTTGGTGGGCATCCTCTGCAGGGTGTGGGAAGGCTCAACTGCAGGTTACGGTATCCAGGTCTCTCACTGCCCCCAGAATTTCCTTGCTCACTTCACCCCTCCCACCCTGATGAGCTGAAGGTAAATTTTACCTTGAGTCCAACTGAAGTCTCTTGTGTTGCAGGGGCAACCCCATATCTCCATGCCTGGCCTTGGGATCACCCCCCATTAGATAGTTGAGGATTGAGAATACATAGCCACCCCCAGACTCCCCCATCTGTCAGCAAAAACCTTCTGAAAATCGACCTCCCTGCAGATGAGGAAGCAGGGTGCAGAGAGAAGTGACTGGCCTAGGGTCACAGAGCAAGTCAGGGGCAGAGGACTCCTGTGTCCTGACTCCTGGCTGAGTGCTCCCACCTGCCACCTTTCCACCTTTGTCCTGCAGCCAGTGCCCGTGGTGTGTCTGTGGGGTCTGTAGTTGGGGCTCCCAATTCCGGTGGGTGGGGTCAGAGGTGGTGGGCCCTCTGAGAATCCGGGAGGGAGACCCTCAGCAGGAACATCTCAAGGTGGCAAATGCAGCAAGCAAGACTGGCCAGACTCCCTGTGTAGATGGTGTGGGTGAATGTGCAGGGCACAAAGGGTAGACAGATCTTCCCCTACCTAAAGCCCTAATTTGGGGGACTCATGACAGAGAGGAAACAGAACCCAAATTCCTTCTTCTACATCCCAACTCCTTGGCTGGCAGGCCAGGCAGCCAGTTACCTGCTTAAGGAAGCTGAGGGTCTGCTGGGCGGCTGTGGTAGCCAGGATGGTGTGGCTGCTCCCGGGACTGGGCCGCAGGGAGAGGGCAAGACTGGCCACCACCTGGACCTGCAGCTGTGTGATGCTGACCTTCTCCTCTGTCACTGTCAGCAGTGTCTCCCCAAGCACGGCCTCTGTCAGCGGGGACACCACCTGAGGCAGAGTGGGGCAGGGGTGAGAGAGAGCAGGAAAGCAGCACCTCCCAGAACCCAGGGAGGAATTCCAGTAGTGCTGGAAGAGGAGGCGGGAGGAGTGGGGCAGGCTGGGAGGCAAGACTCCTGGACTCTGCCTTACAGCTGCAACCAGGAACCAGGGCCCAGAGGCCAAACAAGGGCCAGGGGCCCACAGAAGGCAGGCAGGAACAGTGAGCAGACCTGAAGGCAAACAACAGCCCCCTGTGGTGATAAATAGCAATTGCCATTTAGCCTCAGTGTCAGGGAGCCAGAAGGGAGTAGTGGGAACTGTGGCAAATGGGAGGATTGTGCCCTTGTAAAGGGCGCACCAATATTGACTCCTGCTGATGGTTGCCAGGTGGGACTGCAGGTCCAGTATTGCCAGATTGCTTGTTTATAAAACCAGAAATACAGATTTTTCAAAATAGGAAACCTCCCAGTTTTTCAATTTTTTTTTTTTTTTTAATTCGTTTACAAACAAACATGTCTCCGGGCAGATTCCAGCCCATAGGTCACTATTCGCAATCCCTTAGGCAGATAATTTCTGCCTGGATACCCAGTTGTCAGGGAAGAAGGTCAAAGTTGAGTTCCTCAATCCCAGAACTCCTCTTCCTGGCCTGTAGGCTTGCAGACCCCTCTCACCTGCACCCCCCTCCTCTATCCACACCTGTTCTCAGGGAGGGGTCTGCCTGAGTCACCCACACTAAGCGCTACAAGGCTGGTAACAGCGGATAAAGCTTTGAGTGAGAATCCTCATCAGAGCTGAGCAAAAGAAGCTTGACCTTTGATGGTGGAGTTTCCGGTGGAGGGGCAGGTGGGGCAGAAAGTATGTTTTGAGCAGGGTGGGGGTTGCTCCCAGAGGCTGAGGCTCTGGGACTCCATCACGGGAACACCTGCATTCTCTGCCCACAGGTCAAATGGCTCCTGGGCACTGCCCTTTGTGCTGGGGCAGAGCCCGTGCCTACCTTGAAGGGGGTGATGCCTGGCTCCAGGCCCGCCAGCGTGCTGCTGTCCACCATGTGTGCCACTCGGGGGTCGCCCACCCGCATGAAGTCGCTGACCAGGTCGGTGACCTCCACCAGCCAGTCTGGGCCCAGCATGGTGACCACCTGGTCTGTGCCCTCTGATGATGTGGTATGGAACTGGGTGAAGACCTGCAGCGTGGCGTGCTGGTACTGCAGGGTGCAGCCGCGGCTCACACTCTGCCGCCGCTCCTCCTCCTCCTCGTCCTCATCCTCGCTCTCCCGGGCTGATCTGGGGGGTCGGGGAGGCATGGGGTCAGGGCTGGCCAGGCTGGAGGACTTCTCACCCTGGCTGGGACCTGAATAAGCCACTCCTCTCACCCTGGCCCTGCTGGTTCCTCCCCAGCTCCCCATGGCTAGAAGCTCTGCAAACAGCAAGCCCCCTCCCTGGTTCTTTCCTCTGTCTCTAACAAGTTCGGAGCTAGGAGTCCCAGTCTTGACCTTCCCTGGTCCATCTCCTGCCTCTGCTGTGCCTAACCCAAGCCACAGAATAGCTGGCATCAAATACTAACAAGTACTGCCCTCTGCTTCAGCACTACATATGTGCCCGACCCTGTTCTAAAGCTCTGGACGGGAGGGAAGGTGATCCTTATTATCTAAGTGCCAGAAAGCTCAGCTGAATCAGGTCCTACAGTGTGTAGAAAGCAGAACTTGGAGGCACTGAACTTGGGTATTTATCTGTAGAGATTTCCAAGCAAAGTGTTGAAGATGTGGCCGAGTTTTTTCTTGCTGCTTATAGTAAAATGCAACAGGAAAGAGAGAAATTGAGGGGAGAACTATTTAGCAAAAAGGAACCAGGCCCTGATAATTTGGGAAATTCTCAGCCTATCCAGATTGCAAAAGATGCTAAAGTTAGGAGATTCACTGTTGGGACAGTGCTCTACAGAGAAAGACGAGGGTGTGGCTGGGCAACTTTTGTTTGTGTTTCGGAAGGATGAAAAGATCAGAATTTATTCACACAGAGGGCTCTTTTACTTAGGTTAACTAATTTAATTCTCACAACCACCCTATGAAGTGGGTGCTTCATGCCCATTTTATAGATGAGAAAATTGAGGCCCAGAGAGGCTATGTAAGTAGCCCAAGGTTATACAGCTAGTAAACACCAGTTAGGGTTAGAACCCAAGCTGTCTGGCTTCAGAGTCCACTACACCATCACTACTCAAAGCAATATCAGCATTACCTGGGAGCTGGCCAGAAATGCAGAATCACAGGCGCTGCCCCAGAGCTACTGAACCTGAACCCGCATTTTAAATAAGATTTCCAGGTGATTCCTGTGCACGTTAAAGTTTGAGAGGCTCTGGTCTACCCTACCTTGCTTTTCCAAATCTCTGCGGACTTGATCCCACCCCAAGTCTCACTTGGCCTCCTGTTTCTCTTACCACCTGCTTCTCTCTCCAGCCCCGCCCCCTCTGCTGTCAGCTGCCTGCTACTTTTCCTCTTCTTCCCTTCCCTGCTGGGCTGATCTCTCCAGCCGCTCCAAGTGGGTGAGTGGAGTGTAGTGAATACATTTATATGCCCCAGAGCTGGGCCTTTGGGTCTTGAGCTTGTACTCTGCAAGGAAGCCCAGGTGTGACTCACCGTGCTCCTGGGATTAAGTGCTCATGAGTGTACCCCTGGTGTGCCCAGGCTGGGCACATGGGTGTGGGTCTGTGTTGGTGCGTGTGTCCCATTTGTCTGACTGCTCTCTCCCCCTGCCTCCCCAGCCAACTCCTTTCTACTAGTCCTTTAAGATTTAAGGAGTCCCTGGGTTAACACACTCAGCTGCTAACCAAAAGGTTAGAGGTTCTGATCCTACCTAGAGGTACCTCGGAAGAAAGTCCTGGCAATCTGCGTCCAGAAAATCAGCCATTGAAAACTCCATGGGGCACAGTTCTATTCTGACATACATACATGGGGTCACTATGAGCTGGAGGTGACTCGATGGCTGCTGGGTTTTTTGTTTATGACTTTGCTCAGGAGTAACTGCTTCTAGGAAGCCTGCCTTGACTAAGAGGAAGGGGTGGTCCTCTCCTTTGTGCCTTTTGATTCCCTGAACACGGAGCTCCCTGAGTCCCACTCTGTAGCATGTACATGACTGCCTTCCCTGCTGGACCAAGAGCTTGGCTGGGTCAGGCACTGGCCACACTCGCCTCCATGTCTTAAGCACCCACCAGTGCCCAGCACACAGTTTGTTGATTGCATAACTGACCTGCTGACTGTGTATACGTAGGGCCTTATGCACACATGCAGATTAGACAGTGCTGAGGCTGTGTCCACCCATGAGTATCCCGTGTCCCCCGAGTGTGGAGGGGCTGTACCTCCGGTCGGGGAGGATAGGTACCCTCCAGCCCTTCACTTGGCTGAGGCGGGCGTCTGAGAGCTCGATATGAAGGGGCAGCTTGGGAACCCAGACCGTCATCTCCAGGGGCGCGTGGAGGACATCGTAACGGAAGGTGACCCTGGCGTTCATGGACCCTCTAGACTCCTTTCCGCTCACAAACACGTAGTCGCAGCTGCTGGACACCTGGGGAAGGGGAGGAACACTGGGCATGTCTTGCCCCAGGGGTTTTCCTGTGGGCAGTGCAGGGGACTTCAGTCTAACAAGCAGAGCCAGAGGGAAGCGAAGGCCAGGGCCCCTGATTCCTCTGGGAGGCATCGGCTTCAGTGTGTTCCGGATTCCACTCCACCTCTCCAGACAATCTCTCAGTGGCCACTGGGGGGGTGGGGTGGTGGTGGTGGTGGTGGTGGTGGTGTTTGTTTCCTGGCACAGAGCCAATATGCAAATGTTTTTTACCCGAGGTTGCTTCTGACCTGCCACACCACACCTTGGAGGGGGCCTTTCAGGGCGGCTCCCCCTCCAGGTGTCCCAGGTAAAGTCCTCTGCAGCACAGACGAGCAGCCTGCCCTGAGCAGGCTGGACTGGGCAGGGAGAAGGTGGAGGTGGGGGGATGGAGGTGAGGGGCAGGGGTGTGGCTCCTCCACGGCCCCTCGGGCAGGGCTGCCCCAGGACAACACGCGGCTGGTTAATTACAGGTAAGGGGGTGGCTCTAGCCAAGTGTGAGGTGATGGGCAGGGGAGAGGAAAAATCAAGGCCAGACAACCCCAAGCACAGATACCTGGATGGCTGCCACCAATGGGCGTGGCTTTTGCATGCCCACGTGGATACCAACTTGCCTTCCTGCAGGTCCCCTGGACCGGCACATGCCTCTGAACACATCTTGGTGGACATCTGCACCCACTCACTGGGTGTCACTGCCAGCACTTGAGGGCAAGTGGAGATGGGTGTACCTGTCAGGTGTGCCCACGCGCACACCTGGCACACCCTGGAATGAATCGTGGGCACATGCATTTAGGTGCTTCTGCTGGTACATGCCCATGTGCACACACGTGAGGCCCTTGTGTTTGGGGGAGGGTCTGTCATGCAGCCTAAGGGCTGATGACATGCCGACGGTTCGGTTCTGGGTGCGGGGAGGGTGCTGGGACACTGGCTCATCCATGGAGATGAGCCCTGGCCCGCCCCACACCCCTGCCAGACCCCTTAATTATCTCAGAGGGTGGATGAAGGGAAGTGAGGACAACGTCCCTGCCAGAAATGCTCATTTCCCGCTTCAGAAGGCAGACAATTCCATCTGAAGGCTGGCACATTCCATTTAGAATGTTGGAAAACTCCATAAAGCATCGGAGTATATTTCACTGAGAATGGTAACAAATTCCATTTAGAATCTCCACTAATTCCCTTTGGTATCTGAGCCATCATGACTTTGGTCTGGCCTGCTCTGGGGCTGGGGCAGGGAGGGGAGATGGGATGACAGAGGAAGGGGCTGCTTGCGGCAGGGGGAAGCCCCAGGATCGAGGCCTGGCTCCTGCTCTGAAGGAGGTGATGGGGTGTGTACACAGCCATCTTCAGCCTCACTTGTAAGATACTGTTTCTGTGTTAGGAATGGGTGAGGTGACCCTGTGCTTCCCAGACCCAGAGGGGTCCAGAGGCTTAGTGTGGAGAGAATGAGCCCAATGTGAGGGAGCCCAATGAACAGGAGGCAGAAGGACACGCACACCCACCTCCTCCTGCTCTCCTGCAGCTGAATGATTTACAGGAACAGGAAACAGATCCCCTTGTCCGATTGTTTGGGGCCTGCTGGAGGCTGGCATGGCAAATGACTTGCCCACACTACAGGTGCCAGGGCTGGACATCCTTATGTTGCTGCCCATTTCACTGTCTACTGCCCCTATCTCACCTCTGACCACCGTCCAAAGCCAGACGGATGGATGTGGAGGATTCACGGTGGGTCCCTGGCGAGGAGCTCAGGGGGGATTCATGGCTGGGAGGAGCTTCAGGAGTTGGAGGAGCTGGGGTGTGGCCTTCCTTAGACAACCTCCACTCCTGGCTTAACTCACATGTTTTCTGAGGCTTCCTTCCTCAGGTTGATCTCCATTGGGTCACTAGCCCCATGGGTTCAGAGCATGTCTTTGAGGGGCCCACGCACCTCATCTGTCCCCTGTTGCCTTGTCCAGAGTCTCTCACACAGCAGGTGCTCAATAATCACTTGCTGGATTGAGTTCTGGCATCCCTGGGTGGTGCAAATGGTTAACGTGCTCATTGCTAACTGAATGGTTGGTGCTTCCCAGAGATACCTCAGAAGAAAGGCCTGGCAGTCTACTTCTGAAAAATCAGCCATTGAATACCCACGGAGCACAGTTCTACTCTGACACATATGGGGTTGTCACAAGTCGGAATCAACTCTATGGCAACTGGTAATTGATGGATTGAGTTCAAGTTGTCTACACTGTCTTCCCCCTTCTGGTCTGCCAAACAGTCTCTCCCACAGTCCTACAGGAAGACCTCCAGGACTGGCAGGAGCAGTACCCAGGGCTTTCCCTCCCCCCACTCAAGCTGGACATGGGATGCCCACAGCTTTTCTCCCCCATCTTGCCCCATCCCCCTCCTCCTGCCTACCATGGGGACCTGCCTGGAATGTGAATTCCCCTCTGGTCTGGGGTTCCACGCCCCCTGGAGGTCTGAGTCCTCCTTCCCCAAGGGCACCACCTCCAGGAAGCCCACCTTGATGATGTCTTCATTGTCAGACTTGCATTCCACTAGGGCAGAGACATCCAGGACGAGACCGGTCACCTCAATGGCTATGACCTTGACAGGGATGGCTACCGTCCGGCCTGTCAGGATGGCTGTGTTGATGATCTCCGTGTCCTGTGGGAAGGAGGGAGCGTGGGGCTTTGCTAAGCGAGGTGCTCACAGTCCTCTGTGCTCCTGGAACATGGCTGGCCAAGGCCCTGGCTCTGGGCTGTCCCCCTTCTCAGATGCATGTCCTTCCCACGAGTTCCCTCACACACATGCACAGGGACACCTGCTCACTCAGCTCCTGCTCAGATGGTCTGCTCACTGGACTCCTGAGCAGCTTTCAGGGGCCACTCACCACCACCACTCTGCTGCCAATCCTTCCCCGGCCCTACCATCCTCTCTCAGAAATCTGCCATGCTCCTCAGGACTCACATAGCAACATCCAACATGTTCCCCTGGCCATTCACAGTGCCCCGGGCTGGTCCCATGTTCGCTTGGCCATTCACGGAGCACCGGGCTGTTCCCACATTCGCCTGGCCATTCACGGTGCCCCCAGGGCTGGCCCCACACAACAGCTCCAGCCTTACCACCCCACCGCACTCTCCTAAACCCCACTGCTCCTTTGAACAAACAGGTCATATTCCCACACCACACTTTTGCCCATGTGATCCCTCTGCCTGGGCACCCGCCTCATCTTCTCCGACTGTGCAAGCCCTTCTTCCCACTTGACCTTCAAGGCTCAGCTGCAGGCCACCTCCTCCAAGAACCTTCCCTCAGTGGCCCCCTGTGGCGACTTCTCCCACCTCTGCAGCCCGCAGCATCTGCTGTCCTTCCCCCATCAGGCACCGAGCGCCACCTGCCTCCTGTGAGGGCACGTCTGGTGCCGGAGGCAGTCACACACTCGGGCGCCTGCTCACACGCACATGTATCAATCTACACATGCATGAGCACACATGCATGCATGTGCACGCGTGGACACATCTGCCCGCTGACCCAGTGCCCCACCCACTCACCATGGCCAGGGGCAGGATGGCTTGCACGTCCCTCTGGATGACCGTCAGCTCAGTGACTGCCCGCTCCAGATCAGGCATGGCGCCATGGCCACGGTAGTCGATGTGCCACATGATTCTCCGCTTGACCGACTGGCTGGTGAAGTTCTCCATCTCAAAGTCCAGCTGCAGGATCTCCAGGGGCCCCTGGCCCTCCCTGCCGGGGGTGCAGAACGAAGGAGAGCCGAGAATGAAGGGCTAGGAGCAACCCAGGAGCTCCCAATCCCCTGGGCGGGGGGACCCCACCACAGCTCAGCAGCCTGCCTGGCTGGGTTCCTCTGAGGCCTTCTCTAGCCCACATGAGGTGCCCCATCCTCAGGACCACTCCTAGAGGCCTGGACTCCTGAGTCCCCATAAACCAAGTTCCAGCCCTTCTGCAAGTCCCAGCCTCCTCCACGAAGAACCTCCACCTCTCCCAGGTGCCTGCCCTGCAAAGAGGTGGGTGGAGGCACCATCCCAGGCTCACCTGGGAGGCAGGGGTGTGCCCTGAGCCCAGGCCACGTCCACGGTGGCTGTGGAGTGCTTCGCCCCAGTCAGCAGCTCTGAGGTCACATGCCACTGGCCACTCCGTGACTTGGTGCCTAGAAGGGTCACGCCCTTCTTGGCCTTCACCCTGGGGTCAAAGGGGGAGGAAGAAGAGGTAGAGGGTCAGGGTAGGGCCTGCCTGGCCACCAGCCCTAGGCTCGGCTTGGGTATAGTTCTAGACTCAATGTGAGTTGAATCTGGGGAATCCAGCATCATGTAGCTGAAGCCTCTGATCCTTAGTGGGAACTGCAGTCATTTCTACCATATTCCTGACAAGTCTTTGACTAACTTCTACTTGTATACCTTAGTGACAGGTAACTCACTGCTTGTGCACACATCCTGTTCCATTTCCAGAAAGCCCTTAATGGGCAGACACCTCTTTCCTGTATTTAGCTGAAATATAACAGCCATAGGTCTGCTGGGGCAAGAGAAAACTCACTCATTCAACTCCATTTTAATTGTGACAGCTTTTCAGATCGCTGGAGAGGGGAGCAGTTACTCTAGGAGCCTTCTCTTTTCCAGGCCTAAAGTCTCCCGTTCTTCCAACTGTTGCTTTTTGCCGTGGTTTCAAGTCACCTTATATCCTGGTCGGCCTCCCCTGGACACTTTGAACATATTAGGTGTAGTGTACTATACTAAATGCAACATTTCAGCTGTGCTCTAATTAACACTGATTAAAGGGGTGATGAAGGAGCCCTGGTGGTGCAGTGGTTAAGTGCTCGGCTGCTAACCGAAAGGTTGGCAGTTTAAACCCACCAGCTGCTCTTCGGGAGAAAGATGTGGCAGTCTGCTTCCATAAAGGTTACAGCTTTGGAAACCCTATGGGTCAGTTCTACTCTGTCCTACAGGGTCACTATGAGTCGGAACTGACTTGATGGTAACGGGGTTTTTGGGAAAGCAAAGTGAATTATCACCTCCTCAATTCTATATGCTCCACTCCTATTAATGCAGCCCAAGATCTCTGATGACTGATTTAACTCATATTCACATTCAACCGTCAATCATTGAATCAGGTATGACCCTTTCCAGGAATATTCGGAGTTTAAGGTGGAACACTCAGGAGAGAGGACAATACTTACTCAGAAAAGTTGGGGGCTAATGGCAATGTTGAAGGTCCCATGCATAGTGCTTGGGGGGCGAGGCATTTTGGTGGAGCCTCTTCTGTGTCCCCAGAATCACTCAATATAGCTCAAACCACGGGTTTCTACTATGAGACATTATTATGTTTTGTAGGGATATGATATGAGTTAAGGTATTTCTGAATTCAAGAACTGTATCCTGCTGAAAGCATAGAAAGAAAAATTGAAAAAATTTCTCCCAGCTCCAGGATTTGGGGCAAATATCCCAACACATGCACATATTCCTGCTCATCTTCTGGCTCCCAGCCACGGGGTTTCTCTCTGATCTCCATTTCTCTTCTTTGGCCTCAGACTCCTCATCTGTAAAATGGGAGCACTGCACTGGCTGATGGCTAAGGGCCCTTCCCAGCCCCAATTCTATCATTCTAGACGTCCATGCTTGTGAATACTGACATGCCCCCCTTTACCATGATGCCAAATCTGCGAGGTATGAAGGTAGGTGCAGGAATTTTTGTTCCCATTATACAGATAAGCATGCTGAACACTGAGGTTCATATAAGTGAAGTGTCTTCCTCAGGTTGCTCAAGTGCTAAATGGAAGAGCTGGGATTAGAATGCTGGACAGGCAGGTGTGAGAGGCCCCCTACAAGGAGTCAGGTGTGCATTTGATCTAGAGCCGCCCTACCTGAGTGTGAAATGCTCCACGCTGGGGCTGGAGGGAGAGGAGGAGTTGGGGGCCAGGTAGAGGAAGATGCTGAGGACTTCCCCGGGCTTGAGGGGCCGGTCTGGCAGGCGGATCATCAGGTTGCTGTCCAGCCGGTGCTCCTGCAGGGTCCTTCTGGGGGGCGGGCGGAACAGGCTGATGCTTCCGATGCGCAGCAGGGGGTGCTGGGTGGGGCTCTCAGCCCGGGCCCCTGCCCCGGGCCCAGCTCCCCGGCGGGTGCCCCCGCAGCCCCCAGATGCATCTGGGGCGTGGAGAGTGTAATACAACTCAGCCTGCTGGCTCTCCCCTGCTACCTCGGGTTCCAGCCCGTCGGGAGATTTTCTGCGGGCGGTGGGCGGTGAGGCTGGGGCGGGGGGCCCAAACCAGGCCAGGGGTAGGTCGGCCCGCACTAGACAGGTGGCCAGCCCCCCGCTGAGGCGACAGGAGCTCTTGACTTCCCGGGCATCCCGGAAGGCGTGCAGACGGACACAGGGTAGCCGCTCGGTGACGCCAAAGTCATCCCAGTCCCGGCCGGCCACGTAGAAAAGCACCTGGGCCACAGGCTGCGAGGCAGGCACACGGGCACGGACGATGAACGCCCGCACCTTCCAGTTGACCGTCAGGCGCTCGGGGATGTCCAAGGTGCTGGATGGCTGCAGGAGCTCCCGGGCCACCACCTGGCTGGTGCTGAAGGGCCCCAGGGAGACATTGAGGATGGGCAGCTCCTTGGTCTGGAACACCACGAAGGGCTCAGAGCGCTGCAGGGAGCCGTTGGCAACCGGGGTTGGCGGAGGCCTCGCCTCCCGAAGGAAGAAGGCCAGCCTTGTGTGTGACAGGCGGTAGCTGACTGGCAGCACTGGGGTGGCCTGTGGCCCTGGCGGGCTGGGGCTGGCGGGATGGGAGCGGCTGGATGCTGGGGACAGAGCAAAGAGGCCCAGAGTGGTCAGAAGAGGCCCACGTGTGGACCCCACGGCATGCCAGCCTCCGTCCCTCCCACCTTCACGCAGGACAGTCTCCGCCAAGCTGGGCCAAGACACCAGCTCCCCGTACCCGAGCGGGCCCTGAAGCCAGGCAGCCTGGGCTGCCAGCCTGGCCGCCCTGTTGGCTGGGTTGTTAACTACCTTCACTGCTGCTTCCTTTCTCTCTGAAATTGGAGTAAAGCTTACCCAATTGCAAAGCATTGTGAGGCTTTCATGAGGTGCTATTCCCCGGGTTTCTCATCTATAAAATGAGTATGAAAATCCTTGCTAGCTCAAAGTGCCGTTGTGAGGATGGCATAGAGTAGATTGCAGAGTGCTGAGAGCAGAGTGGGGCCCGGTGTGGCCCCAAGGAAGTGCTGCCTTTCACTATGAAGCCCGTGTGCCATGCCCTGTGCTTGGCACCATCAGTGTATTTCATCTTCAGAGCTATCCTCTGAGGTAGGTATGACCACGATCTCTACCTATTCAGCCAGTATTCTGCCCAGAACTTCTATTGTTTGAGTGCCCATTCTTACATCTCACAGAAAAAGGAACTAAGGTTCAGGAAGCTGAAGTGACACATGGGAGGAAGGGGCCAGGGGCAGGATTCGAACCTGGGATGTTTTGACAGACTGGAGCTCTTTATTCCTGCACCAGCTGGCTCTGGAGGTTGCAGGGCCCCAGGGAATCCCAGCTTTCCCCCTACTCCCTCTTCCCACACACAATATAAACACGGAGATCTCAGTCTCCCAAAGCAAACGTGGGCCTCCTACTTAACTTTTCCCTCCCCTCAATTGCCTGTCCCCACCCATCCCGGAAGCTGCTAGCAATTCCACCTCCTGACTCTCCAATATGCCCTAGGCTGTACCCTCTCCTCCATCCCCAGGCCCCTGCCCCAGATCTGACTTCACTCCCGTTGCTGTGGCAATGTAACACCTCCTAACTGGGTTCCCCCTTCTCCGCCTCACCCACTTCTCTCGTATCCCCTTCCCCCACACAGCTGTCTTTTTCTTTTAGACACTCACAGCTTAAAACCTGTTGGATACTTCCAAGGAACGGGAAGAATACAAGATGTAGGTTTGAGGTCTGAGATACGGTTCAGGATCTTCCCATGGGCTCCCTGAGTCATGTGCCTCACCTTTAAAATTGGGGGAATACTAAGGCTGGTCTTGCAGAATGTTTTGTTATTTGAATGAGGAAACACTTGATAAATTGTGCGACCCAATGCACATGTGTATGAGTATTATTAAAGAAGCTTTCCCTCTGCTTACAAACCAAACCCACCCTCACCTGGGCTGAGCATGGCATTCAAATCCTCTACAAGGTGGCTCCGGGTTCCCCTCTCCCCAGGACTCCTTCCCCAGCCCCAGCTTCCGTCCTAACCGGATAACTTGCTGTATTAGCACTCCCTGATGCTGGGGGATCTCCCTCCTTTGCTCATGCAGTGCCCTCTACATCAAATGCCCTCCTTCCCCATCTCCACACATCCAAATCTGAACCTTCCAGGCCCAGCTTGAATGCCACTTCTTCCATGAAGCCCTCCAAGATAGAGGAATTTCCACAGAGCTTTGTCTTCCTTTGATGGGATTTCCCCCGTTCTGCCTTGTGTGGGAGTTAGGTATCTAGAGGGCTTGCATGTAGCCAGTGTGATCTACATGGCTAATCTACACTGAGTGATTCCACCGAGAGCTGGGTCCTGAGGCGGTGACTCCTAGTCGGCACTATGATGGTTGGTGGCGCAATGGTTAAGCACTCGGCTGTTAACCAAAAAGTCGACAGAACAACCCCACCTAGCTGTACTGTGGGAGAAAAGATATGGCGATCTGCTCCCATACACATTATAGCCTAGGAAACCCTATAGGGCAGTTCTACTCTGTCCTATAAGGCCACCATGAGTCGTAACCAACTTGACAGCATACAGCAACATTAAACCTTGACAGCTGCACAAACATTCATATCCAATTCCTCCTAAATGCAATGAATTAAAAATTCCTTACTCTTAAGGCTCCAGTGTCTATTTCATATATATTTTAATCTCCTCATTTGAAAAATGAAGAAATGGACCAGTTGTTGTGAGAGGGGTGGCACTTGGTCTCATTGCTCCTCCTTTAGGTTCCTCCTGAGCCCTTAGGACCAACTGGGGAAACCGCCAGGCCTCGGTCCTCTGGGTCTCTATGTTAACCCACCACAGTGCCCACCTCTGGCAGCTGCCTGCCCTCCCCGTCATTCCTAGGAGAACTCAGTTCCCAGTCCACCCTTCCCCACTAGATGCTCTGATTCCTGCAAGAAATGCCAGTTGGTGATGATGGGGTTGAGGTGGGCAGCAGAGTCTAAGATGAGATCAGGAAGATATTTGCAGAGATGGAGAGAGCCTTCCTGACTGGTGCCTGGAGCTCCTGCCCCACAGTGACTGCTGGAGTCCCTGCTGCCTGGGGGGAGGCGGGCCCCCAGGTGTGCATGTGGGAGTCCAGGGTAACAGCCTGAGCCTTGGCCCACAGTAGCCACCAACTGCTTTGGAAGAAACACTGGGAATCAGGCAAAAAGACAGACGGTTAGGAGGACCCAAGTTCAAGGTTCTCTCTCTGCCCCAGACTCACTGGGTAAGTTGCTTCCCATTTGTGGGCCTGTAAAGGTGAGGTGGTGACATCAGCCCTTCTCACCTCACAAGGATGCTGACAGCTGCTCAAAGACCAGGGGGTAGGATGTGTTCTGTAAGCGCAGAGAGGCCCAGAAGGGCACTGCTGTGCGAGGTGTGGATGTCCAGGGCTGTGAGTCCTGGGGTGGAGATGGGGAGGGGCCACCATGTCTCTCTGGGGAGGAAGAAGGGCAGCTGTGGTCAGTGAACTGTAAGAGCTCACCATCCAGGCTCAGGATGGAGAGGGTAGGGGGATGTGGAAGGTCAGAACCACTGACCCTGCTCTGGCTTATCCGACCCCAGGGGAGCCCAGAGGCTGATAAGTCGCACTTAGTTCCTTTTGCCCTCTCTCACCATCCCATCCTCATGCTGACCATCTGGACCTCTTCGAGGCACAGTGGGCAGAGGCCACCAGATGGGCCCTGGATTCAGAGGGGCATAAAGGAAGGGATTAGAGAAACATGTTTGCATCCACCCTCTGCCCTGGGGTAGGGAGCTGGTCAGGCAAAACCAAGATGCTGGATCATTTGAACCATCTTTGCTGTTCCCTGAATATGCCAAGAAAATAATGTTCCTGCCACAGGGCCTTTGCATTCGTGGTCTTCTCTGCCTGGAACTTTCTCCCCTTGACATTCAGGTGGTTCTCTCTCTGTGTCTCTCTCTCTTTCCAGTCTTTGCTTAGAGACGCCTGCCATAATCATCCTATCTAGAATAACACCTCCCTCTTACCATCTGCCCTTGATCTCTCTCTATCCCCTTTCCTGTTTTATTTTCCTCATAGCACTCATCATCAACTAACTTTATATTACAGGCACGTGTTTGTTGTTCCTGCCAATGAGAATTTAAGCTCTGTGGGGCAGTGACATCACTTTGCTGCTTGCTATACTCCTAGTGCTTAGAACATGGCCGGGTACATAGTAGGCCCTCAGTAAACCTTTACTGAAGAATGAAATGATCTGAATGAGCTGCCCAACACTGATGGGATGCCATGGGAGTAATGAGTTCCTTGTCAATGAGGCATCCAAGAGGAGACTGGATAGCCACTGGGGAGATTGGGCATCTAGGCACTGGGCTAGGGGCTCTTAACCCTTCTCAGCAACACTGCAGATAAGAAAACAGAGTTTCTGAAAGGGGAAGTAACTCATCTTAAGAAAGAGGGATGCATTTGGGGCGGGGTAGGGGGGAAGAAAAGATGATATCAGAATACTACAATTTTCATATTTATGTCAGTATGACACACAGCACCTCCTCCCACCATTGTGAATTGTTCTCTCCTTCTAGGGCCCTGAGGTCTCCTCTGTAGGGGTTCAGGGTGAGGTCCCTGAGACACTAGCACCAATCTCTGCCCTCCCAATCACTTGTTCTGGGGCCTAAAGGAAGTTGCTTGGCTCTCTGGGCCTTAGTTTCCCCAGGGAGGTCGGGGAGGCCCTAGAAGCAGTCTAGAGTAGCTGGAGAGAGGGGAGGGGAGGCTGGTGGCATTGGCAAACTGGTCAACTTTTCAGAGACACTTTGTGTGAGAATGTGTGTGCTTGTGTGTTAGATGTGTATGTGCACACGTGTGTGTGTGCTAATATGCACACTGGCCTGTGCCGTGTCCCAGAGCTCTGAGCTCCAGATGTCATGGAGCAGTGGCATGTGGGATGGACACCGGTAGGAAAGGCTGCTGGAACTGGGGGATCAACACAGAGACCGAGGGCAGGCCAGGTCCAGAGGGCAGAGGGGCTGCAAAGGTCGGACTGCAGGGACGTGACAGCCGGGACCTGCGCTGCCTTGGACACACTCAACACCAAGAGGTGGTGCTCATCCCTTCCAGACTGACCCAGGAGTGTACACACATGCACACGTGCATGAGCGCACACGTGCATACACACACCCCTACACATTCACTCACGCTCACACACGGGCTGGCACCCTAAGACCACATACCAGGCTGCCATACCTATTCCATGGCCTTGGTTCCAAACCCTGGTCCCACCCTGCTGTCTCATCCTGCTCCACTCTGTCCCCAGACTCCAGGCTCCCAGCCTCCCACGCTTCTGTTTAACCCCAGCACGCCCCGCGGAGCTGGCTCTTAGTACTGGCTTCCCGTCAGCAGCCCGAGGCCTCCCGTGGGCAGCAGCCTGACTTCCCACGGCTGCAGAACCCCAGGCCTCAGGAATCACAGTTCTCATTTGGGTTCAGCCCCGGGATCCTCTCCCTTGGTGCTGTCTCCTGGAAAGGACTTCTCCAGGCCTTCGCCAGCTCATGATAGAGACTGGCTATTTCTGCCCCTCCCGGCCTGCTTCTCCAAAGAGCTCTGGTGACACAGTGGTGAAGTGCCCAGCTGCTAACCAAAAGGCTTGATAGTTTGAACCCACTAGCCGCTCTGGAGAAAGATGCAGCAGTCTGCTTCTGTAAAGATTACAGCCTTGGAAACCCTGTGGGGCAGTTCTGCTCTGTGCCATAGGGTCTCTATGAGTCAGAATTGACTCGATGGCAGCAAATATTTGCCTGTTTCCCCAGGAAGACCTGATGACACCAGACGGGTGGGGGGCAGGGATGGGAGGACAGGCTGGGCTCATTCAGCTTCTGTTCATGGGGATACTAATGGGGACCTTCTCACCCCTCAGCCAGGCTGTGCCTAGCATCGGAGCCTTCCTGACTGAACTGAGCATGCAACTTCCTCCCCACAACCCCAACTCCAGGAGGGCACAACCAAGGACAGGGTGTCCGGATGCAGCACAATTCACCTCCCATCGCCTCAAATGCCCAGCCCCCAGTGACCTACGGGAGCACTGTCCTAGGGGCCACTTCAGGGCCCTGCTTGGCTTGGGGACAGGCAACCTTCACCCCTCCCCCTTCTTGCCCCTGAAATTGAGACTAAGGTGTGAACGGAGGCTTCACAGGGCACTGCAGTAGACATCAGATACACCAGGGCCCAGAGAAGGCTTGCACGTGGGGTGAACGTGAGGGATCACCTCCTCCCTGAAGCCCTCCTGACATCTTTCACTGTCACCACCCTAGGCAGACTCTCTCTCCCTGCTGTGGTCAGAAGCTTGGCCCTGGGTGAGTGTGAGATGCAAACTATCGACCGGCTGCCTCATTAGTCACTTCTTGGAATGCTCCCTGGGGCCCCAGGATGCTAGCCCAAGTGCCCCTTCACCCGTGCAGAGCCGCTCAAGCCACCTCCAACAGGATGACAGACATGCTTATATGTTTGCCCCTTCAACTGGACCAAGAAGGGCGCACACGGGGGCTGAACTGGCTTTGCATAGTACAAGGCGCGGCACACAGTAGATGCTTAATATATGTCAGTTCTACTCCTTATGAGGCTGGAGGCACCGCCTCAAGGCCTTGAGACCCACCCCTAGTGGCTGGACAAAGCCCCCTTCCCCTCCTTTCATCTCAGGCTGGCCCTAGGTGTCTTGAGGCACAGTAGGGGCCCTCTGGCCACCCCTAGACGACCTCCCCACCTCTCCTCAGGGGCAGAGGGCAGCCCCCTGCCCTTATTTAATACATAAATGAATCCACTTGGAGCTAGGCTGGGGTGCAGGTGACTCTGGCTATCTCCCTGCGTCTAATCAAGATCAGATGCTTCCCGCTTCTACCTCTAATTGTCCCCAAATTAAAACTAATCACTTGGAAATCAGAAAAAAAAAACTGTCATTAGCTTTGGTGAGTTTGAGGGCTGAGGGGCACAGCAGGGCATGCCAGCAGGGGCTCCAGGCAGGCTGGGCTGCAGTGGGAGAGGGCTTGGCCAGCTCACCTCTCCCTATGTATGTGTGACACTAGATGTCAGTGCCTGGGGACCCTCCAGCACAGTGCTCCTGAACGTGCCTGAATATAATTATCAGTTGGAGCAAACAAAACAACAGTAGCAAACAGATTCGAGGGCCCGACCCAGGCTTATACAATCAGAATTTCCAGGGGAGGGAACTTGAAAATTGTCTGTTTATCCAGCATTCCAGGTGTTGTCATCACAGAAGTCTGGAAAATACAGCCCTAAGCAGGAAGGACTGGGAGATGTTGAAGGGGTTGTGATCCACATGGTACAACGTCAGGGACACTGATGGTTAATGGTGGCAAGTACCTAGAGCTTAGAACACCGTCCAGCACCTTGTCGTTGTTGGCTGCTGTTGAGTCAGCTCTGACTCATGGCGACCTCAAGGGCAACAGAACTAAATGCTGCCCTGTCCCATGCCATCATCCTGATCGCTGGTATGCTTGAATCCATTGCTCTCTTCCAACCTGGGGAGCTCATCTTCCAGCACTAGCTCAGACAACGTTCTTTTTTTTTTTTTGTATTAGTTTCCTAGGGATGCCATATCAAAATACCACAAGTGTGTATCTTACAAGAACAGAAATCTATTGTCTCACAGTTTTAGGGGCTGGAAGTCCTAGGTTAGGGTATCAGTAGGGCCATGCTCTCTCTGAAGGCTCTAGAGGAAAATCCTTTCGTGTTTCTCCAGCTTCTGGTAGCCCCAGCTGTTTGCTGGCTTGTAGATACTTCTTCACATGGCATCCTTCCTTCTGTGTCTCTCTTTGTCTGCTCTTTTCTTATATAAATCCATTGCCATTGAGTTGATTCCGACTCATAGCGACCCTATACGACAGAGTAGAACTGCCCTGTAGGGTTTCCAAGAGGCTGTTGGTGGATTTGAACTACTGACCTTTTGGTTAGCAGCCGAGCTCTTAACCACTGTGCCACCAGGGCTCCCTCCTTTTATAATGACAGCACATATATTGAATTAGGATCCAGCCTACTTGGGTATGACCTGATGTAAAATTAACTGATAACATCTTCTAAGATCCTATTTCCAAACATGGTCACAGTCACAGGTATAGGATACATCTTTTTGGGGGATACAATTCAACCATAACATTTGATGCAAAGAGAATGGAGGTTTAGAGAACTTGGATAACCTCAGCAGTCTTTCAACAAGGTGGAAATTTGAACTTTTCTGTTGAGTGCTATCAGGTTGAGGAACATCTAAAAAGTCTGAAACATTCGCAGTGAGAAACAATCTGTAAGTCTTATGTCTGCGGGATTGGAGTGATGTGAGACAAATAATGAGGAAGTTGTTATTGCTAGTTGCCATCTAGTTGATTCCAACTCACGGCAACCCCATGTGTGCAGAGTAGAACTGCTCCATAGGGTTTTCAAGGCTGTGACCTTTCAATACAGATCACCAGGCCTGTCTTCTGGGGTGCCTCTTGGTGGGTTTGAACGGTCAAACTTTCAGCTCGTAGTTGAGTGATTAACTATTTGCACCACCCAGAAAACCTAACGAGGCAGAGGTCACTGTATTTTTGTCATCGGTTAATGGTTAAGGACTA